TCCTACATCAGCAATAAATCATCTTCTAGTGTCCTCCTTTCAAAATCACTTTGTATATCTATTCTACTGGATAGGACACTGGGCCTAAAGTCAGGAGGACCTGAGTGCAAATCTGGCCTCAGACACTAGCTGTGTGACTGTGAGCAAGTTTGCCTCAGTTTCCTCATCTGTAAAATGGTGATCATAATACCACTTAGCTCTCATGGTTGTTCAGAGGATCAAGTGAGATAATATTTGTAAAGTGCTAAGCACAGTGCCTGGTACATAGTAGGTACTTAATAAATGTTTGTTCCCTTCCCCATCCCCCACATATTTTCTATATAACTATCAATGTCACTTAACTGCAACTTCCTCTGGGCTTCTAATTTTTAAAAAATTTTTGCCGATGGTGAGAATGTCAAGATTGCTAAGGGAGGAACCATGGTATATAGTGGGAAAGCTCTGGATTTTGGAGTCAGAGGGCCTGGGTTCACATACCAGCTCATCCAATTAATACCTGTGTGACCTTTGTCACCTGTGTGACATTTAGCCTCTCTTGGCCTCAGTTTCCCCATCTGTAGAATTAGGGGTTTGGGCATAAGCTTCAACTCAGGGCAACTTCAATTCCATGATGAGGAACTAGAACAGGACTTTGTTGGGTATGGGTTTAATAACCATAACTAAAAAAGAAATAGGGGTGATGTTTTCTAAATAAAGCCATGTTCATTCTTGGGGATCATGGTTTTCTTTTCCAGCTGTTCACTATCCCCTAACTGCCTTTTGGGGGCATTAATATTGTATGTGAGGGGTTTTTTTTTGTGTGTGTGTGTGTGTGAGGCAATTGGGGTTAAGTGACTTGCCCAGAGTCACACAGCTAGTAAGTGTCAAGTGTTTGAGGTCATATTTGAACTCAGGTTCTCCTGACTCCAAGGCGGGAGCTCAACCCACTATATATGAGTTTTTTCTTCATTATTTTTGCTATCTTCTCTCCCCCTCCCTCTCCTTTTGAACTATTATGTGACAGAATCCCTCAATTCTTTCAAGAATCTCACATACAACATGGATTTCTTCTGTGTGGATTTCCTGGTTCTGTTTCTCTTACAAACTTTATCTTCCCAAATGGCAGTCTATGTCTTTAAATAGCACTTTGAAGACTGAGGTGTTAGAATCCAAATGAGGAAGTTTTCTGTCCCTCATGATGAAAGTAGATTGTTATAGAAACGTGGACAAATTTGTTCCATTTTACTTCTATTTATTGTACTTTTGCCAGTTTTGTCTATAAATGTTCCAGGGATGACGATGCAGCTCACTTGGGTCTCACGCCAAGCTTTCCGTAGGCTTGTTTTCTCTCCCACTGTGTTTTCTTGCTTTATAAGGTGATTCTGCTCATGATCTGCTGCCTTTTCCCTCTGGAGTGTTTTAGAAATGAGTTTGCATTCTGAGTGTGAATTGTCCTTAGCTATTTCCTCTCTCTGCTTTGCAAGGAGGTCAAATGTTACCGGATAATTCAATTCCATGAGCATTTATTAGGTACCTATTAGGTACAGGACACTGGGTTAGATGTTAGGGAGGCAAAGAAAAAAAAATTACAAATAGTTCCTGTTCTCTAGGAGCAGTATAAAAGGCTTTGTGGGGGGTGTTGAGGGGTGCATTTAGGCTTTCTTGTGGCTTGTTTTACCTTGGTTAAACTTTTGCAGGAAATCATGATAATAAATATTTTTGCCTTTTTTTCACTTTCTGTTTTTAGGCCATCAATGTCTCATGCAGACAGATCATTTTAAAGTAGTTATAACTGTTCACAATTTCTTCTCAACTTCAGCTTTTTTTGTGGCAGTTAGGTGCCGCAGTGGATAGAGCACAGGATGTGAGTTCAAATCTGGCCTCAGACACAAAACACTCAGTAACTGTGTGACTCTGGGCACGTCACTTAACCCCATTGCCTAGTCCCCCCCCCCACCCCCACCCCCCCCGCCAAAAAAAAGAAACTTTAGCTTTTTTTTTCTTATTTGATGTTGGTTTTGATCTTTGCTGTAATTAGTTGATGCCCTGACTTTACACATACTGCTAATTCTATGGTAGCCATGTCAATAAGCCATCATTCACTAACTGTTAAAATAGTTCTTTCTTCTCTTTCTCCTTCCTTCCTTTCATTCCTTCTTCCCTTCCCTTCTTTCTCTCTCCATGTCTTTCTTTCTTCCCTTCTTTCTTCCTACCCTCCCTTCTTTGTTTGCTTACTATGTCCATTCAATGCTTTCCTATTTTCTTTGGGGAAAAAGTATGACATATAGATACGAGGCTTTTGAGTAGACTGTTCACAAGTCTTTGCCTCATTATTTTCTGGCAACTTGTATTTGTGTGTATATATGTATATGTGTACAGACACAAATATACGTATGTGTGTTTATTTATTGTTGTTTCAGTCATGTGTATTAACTTGGTTTGGAGGACTTTGACAAACAGAAGCTCTGACAGTAAATATATTATAAATACTCCACTGTCAGTTATCCACGAGATATGGCTAATCTGAAGCAACATATTCCTCCTCCCAAGTCATTGTTATAGTTGATTTTAAAATTAACCAATCAACAAATAGCTTACAAAACAATCCCTGCCCTCAAGGAGACTACTGCCAGTCCAGGTAAAAGGGGATGAAGACCTGAACTGGGATGATGGTTGGTTGGGTGCTGTCCTTTCTCAAAGAGGACCAAAATGACATCATTATGTCAGGGTCAACGAATAGGTGTGTCTGGCTGCGGCCGATGAGACCAGCATGAGCTTGGAATGCTCTATCCGTGGTCTGTATGAACATTTGGGGTGGATTCTCTAACTTTGCGCATCTTGTGTTTCTTTTGAGCTATTTCAACTCTGCTTCGTTCACAGAGCACAGTGCCTTCTTTGATGCTGGCACAACATGCTAGGCAGTCCTTTGCCAGCGTCTCCCACGTCATGGAATCAATTCGGGAAGACTGCACTGATAGTCATGTGAGGTCAGAGAAGGGAACTGATGTAACAGTACTTGTGGAAGGACATTCAGCTAGACTTGGCACCAAAGCAGCCAAGGAAGTCGGGGCTCCACCACTCATGTTGTTTACCCTAGTAGAATGGAAGCTTCTAGATGTCAATAACTGTTCCATTTTTGTCTGTGTAACCCCCAGTGCCAGGCACGTACTTGGTGCTTAATTTTATTGACAGGAATAGGTCACAGGAGTGAAGAATAATGGGGAACTTGGGGAACCAGGGTGTTTGAAAAGACATCAACTTGTCTGCTGAAGTCCACTATTATAGGGACTGGTTGGAATAGAGGAATACTATTGATGGAGTGGTGGGAACCGGACCCCAAAAAGCCCTAAGACCATGTCTCTGAAAGTAACCCAGCCCCCTCCCCCCAGAAAATTTTCCCTTGATGCAGACTGACTCTGTAATTCCCTTATCAGAACACACAGAGGGGTGCCTGGTGCAAGGGTTTTGTCCCTGGCGGGCCCAAAGACTCTTCCTCCTGCCAGATCCCCAAGGTTCATGCCTCTGACAACTCCCTCAAAGTCTGGTGTACTCTCTATACTTCTCCATCCATAGGTCCCAAAGAGACCTGGACCCTTAGATTACTTAATTAGTATCCCTGGCATTCCTTTTCCATGCCCCTTTTTTATATAAACTCTAGGTTCACCTGATTAGGGTACAAGTTCCCAAAAGGGACTTTGCAGGCTCCTACTGGCATTATAATAAACTCTCTTGACTGAAAGACGGCTCGAGAGCTTGAATTCATTCCTGGCCACTCTGCCTTGGCACTAAGCCCCCTCTAACCTCTTCTCTTTGAACTAGGTAACTATTCTCATGATCCAGGACCTACCTGATAATTGTTCTCCAAGATCTGGATTCTGTCATGCATCTATACAGAGTGAACTGGAGGAGAGGTCACTGAGTGAAAGGTCTGGAAGTAACAAGTACACCAACTCTCCCGCCCAGGACTGTTGCATGTATCCACCGGCATGACAGGTGATGCAGTCCAAACCAGCCTCAGACACTTTCCTAGCTGTGCGAGTTCCCCAAGTCGCTTCACCTGTCTGCCTCAGTTTCCTCAACTGTAAAATGGGGATATAACAGCATCAACCATGCAGGGCTGTTGTGAGGATCAAATAAGTATTTGTAAAGCTCCTGGCACAATGCCTGGCACATACTAGGTGCTTGCTTAATAAATGCCTATTCCCTTCCTTCTCCCTCCTATGTTCCAGGCACCGTGCTAAGTAAGCGCCGGGGATATAAAGGAAGGCAAACTGCAATCCCTGCCCTCGAGAGGCTCCCCATCGAAATGAAAAGCCTGGTTGTCCATCCTCCCCTTCTCTCCACTCCCACAGCCACCCACTACGTGGATTTCAGGATTTCATCCCCTCTGGGCCAGCCTCTGCCGGGAGCTTCCAGCCTGGGGTGCACGGCGCTGCGCCCCGGCTGGCCCTCCCTCCTGCTTGGCATGCACTCTCTCCCCTCTGCCCAGCGCCTCGGGAGCGTCCTCGCAGCCCCAGCTCCGTTCTGCCCTGGGGCAGCCAGAGCTCCCCGGGTTACTTTGTATCTCTTTTGTGCGCGTTTTGTGTAGACCTGCTGCAGGGCGTCTCCAAAGTCGCTGGAAGAGCTTACGACGAAAACCGTCACTTGGAAGTTCTAAGAGTTTAAGTTCGAGGTGAAGGCTTGAGTGAGCCGACTAGAGGCCATTCAGAAAGAACAAGGGAGGAGATGCTCTAATTTGGCAGCGCAGAGCGCAACAGCAACGATAGGCAGCTCCAGCCCCGCAGGTGGCGCTGCAGCATGGGAGAGAGGTGTGCAGGTGGAATAGGAGGTGGCAGCGGAGGAAGGAGCGGTAGAGCGAAATCGGTCACGTGATGCGGAGAGGCGGGGAGAGCAGGGAGTGCGAGGAAACGCACGCATGTACGTACGTACGTACGCGGCTACCTTCGTGCTTCTCGCGAGAAAGGGAGCAAGCTACGAGAACTAAATAAACGAGGGCTTGCTTGCTCGGCGGGAGGCGGGAGACGGAAGCGGCTCCAGCTTCCCGAGCCCCGGTCTCCTCGGATTGGTTTTTGCGGCTGCACACGCGCGGTCGTTCTGCGGTCGGGAGTGAGGGCAGTGATGGCGACCTTTGTGAGCGAGCTGGAGGCGGCCAAGAAGAACCTGAGCGAGGCGCTGGGCGATAACGTGAAGCAGTGAGTACGGCCATTCCTGCAGCTTCGGACCGCCGAGGCCTGGCCAGGGACCCCTCCTCCCTCACTCCCCTCCCCCATCGCCTGCCTCGTACGGGCGCTGCCGACCCCTCCCAGGCTGCTTGGGCCTCTGGGGAGAGAGGAGGGAGGAGGGCATCTTCTCCGCTCCTCGCGAGGCCTGGCTGCCCCCTCCCTGTGCCTCGCGGGGCCGGCAGCATCTCCATGGAAACGACCTGCAGCATCCCCTCCCTTCAGCCCCCACCCTCCTGCTGGAGGCCCTGAGGTGCTCAGTAAGTAGCCTCCCCTAGGATGGTGGGGCCAGACCACAAGACTTAGGTAGTAGCGACTCCTGAGATGAGAAAACCGTTATTAGAGAACTAATAATTATTATTAAGATAATGCAATTTAAAATAGAACAAAATTACCAGCAGCTAGCATTTTTATAGCGCTTTGAGGTTTGCAGAGTACTTTAAAAATAGCTAGCACTTATATATATTATAAATATGCTTTTACATAAAAGTCAAATGAGATATTTGTAAAAAAAGCGTTTAGTACAGTGCTTGGCACATAGTAGGCGCTATATAAATGCATATTTCTTTCACCCTTATATAGCGCCTTAAGGTTTGGAAAGTGCTTTGATAATAGGTAACATGTTATAAATACACTTTTACATATATATCAAATGAAATAATGTTTGTATAAAATGTTTAGTAAAGAGCCTGCACATAGTAGGCATTATATAAATGCTTATTTCATTCCCCTTTATATAACACTTTGAGGTTTACAGAGTGCTTTAATAATAGCTAGCACTTATTTGTATATTATAAATACGTTTTCATATATATTTCAAATGAGATAATTTTTGTAAAAACGCTTAACACAGTTCTTGGCACACAGTAGGCACAGTATGAATTTTTATTCCCTTCTCCTTCACTCCCCGTCCACCTGAAATGTCAGTCCCTGCCCCCCTGGAGCTTAGAATCAAGCCCTTCTTTTCCATTACAAATGCAATATGCCTATCCATGACTAGCACTATACAGGCATTCCTAAAAGTCTTAGTGCAGTTGAATCATATTTAAGCTTATAACTGCACTAAGACTTTTGAGACAGTCTGCATATGAAGACTTTTTAAAATACAACTTTTTAAATGGTGACCCCATAACACAAGGAACCAGAAAATACTGTTCTGTGGAAAATATTGCTCCTTTGTTCATGTGAATGAGTAAATGAATGAATTTTTTAAAGAGCATTTATTCATTGCTTACTGTAGTTCAAATAAGCACAGTGCTGAGGATATTCAAATAGAGCTGTCATGTCATTGATTGAGGAAATCCCTCCAGTGATGCAGATTTGGAAGACATGTCTTCGATTCTTGTATATATTCTTCCAAAATTTGCCAGAATGGGTCCCAGTGTTCTTTCCTCTGGCTTGCCCCCATTCTCCAGACATAGCAAGGAGGGTGTTAGTGGAACACTGGCTGTTCATCTCTCATCCTTTACTTCAGCCTAGCTATGTGACCAACACATCCTCTCTTCTTTTCTTCTAAGGTGGCCAGTGGAGTTTAGGTGTTGCAGTCTGCTGACACTCACCACTCACCATGCACCTTTCTCTGTTGCTCTCTGTAATAACATGCATTTATTAAGTGCCTGCTGTGTGCCCTGCAGTGTGCTGAGGATACAAACAAAGACAATTTGAAAAATTAGTCCCTGCACTTGAGGCATTCTTAGGCTGATGGGATTTTTCTTGTTCATTCATTTCAGTTGTGTCTGACTCTTCATGACCCCATTTGGAGTTTTCTTGGCAAATATAGTAGAGTGATTTGCCATTTCCTTTTTCAGTTCATTTTACAGACTAGGAAACTAAAGCAAACAGGGTTAAGTGACTTTCCCAGAATCACACAGCTAGTGAGTGTCTAAGGCCAGATTTAAATTCATGATGAGTGTTCCTGACTCGTGCCTCCTAGGTGTTTGAAGGATGAAGGAAACAGTAGTGTTTAGTATCCGATTGCCATGCTGCTGGGCAAAACAGTAGTGAGAAGATGGGCTTTTGCTTGGACTGTTTTTTAAAAGCAATCTAGCCTGCTTTCATTCTCCTCTTCAACTCTGGGCCTTTAAGCCCAATGTAATATATATATATATATATATGTATATATATATGTGTATGTATATATGTATGTATATATGTATATATGTATATGTGTGTGTGTGTGTGCATATTATAAACATATCTCTACATCAAAATCATTCACAATTCCTTGGAAGATGTAATAATAGAAATTAACATATTAAGTAACTTTGATAATAAATATTAAGGGAGCAGGGAAATGTATGCTTGACAAAGCTATATGCAACAGTGCATGAGATTAGTTGCAGCAGAATTCAGGTACAAGTGGGCTCCCTCGTACTGGGGATACAAATATAAAAGTGAGAGAGCCCTTGCCCTCAAGGAGCTTACATTCAAATAGGGGCAGATCAAGTAAGAATGTTTTGGTCTAAGAAGTCCCAAAGATGGTAAGTGAGACAATAGGGCAATCAATTGACTGACCCTTTTAATGGCAATGGTAGTGTTATTTTATCACAGTTCTCTGAGCAGAAATTGGAAGGGTTGGGAGCAGGATGCAGGTGGTAGGGAACTGAGTGGTTTAACTTCTTCTGGCAGGGTTTCTGGGAGTCTGGTTTGGAGGATGGGCAGCAATGGCATGGTGGGAGGAAAAACATATTAAGAAACACCTTGAGGACAGGTACTTTGTGATTTTTGTCTTTGTGTCCTAGGACCTAGCCCACTGTCTGGCATAGTGTAGGTGTTTAACATGTAATAGACTTTTGTCTGTGGACAGGTCTCTTCATTCAGACTTGGAGCCAAAGTTTCTTCATTTGTAAATTGGGGATGATAACTAAAGTACCTGCTTCACAGGGGTTTTTGTTGTTGTTTTTGTTTAGAAAAGTGCCTTATAAAACTTACTGCCATATCATTGTGAGTTATTGTTGGCAAAGCCCCGTGCAGTTGCTGACAGTGGTGCAGACATGAGTAATAGGGGGAGTAATAGGGGTTTCTGACTTCTTGGAGATAATATTCAAGTGGGGAATATCAGTTTTAAGACACAGACAAACCCAATACAGAGTAGATCAAGGTGGGTGCATTTTTGTTGTTTTCAATTGTGTCCTACTCTTCATGACCTCATTTGGGATTTTCTTGGCAAAGATACACGAGTAGTTTGCCATTTCCTTCTCCAGCTCATTTTACAAATGAGGAAACTGAGGCAAAAAGTGACTTTTCCAGGGTCATACAACTGGTGTCTGAGACCAGATTTAAACTCAGGAAGATGAGTTGACTAGTCTTTGTGATTCCAACCTGGCACACTATCCACTGCGCCACCTAGCTTTGTGCAGTGTATACACAGATAAATAAATAGGAAACATATGCCAGGTGAGCATTCATTGATTTGGGTGTGTGTTGTGGGATACTAATAATTGAGGAAATCACAAAAGTCTTCTTGAAAGAGGTGGCATTTGACTTTGAACCTTGAATGGGGTTAGGGGTTTCATGACCATAGGTAAGGAGAAGGAGAATCACCTGTGCAAAGACATGAAGTTGGAAGATGGAATGTTGTTTATGGGTAGTGTGGAGTAGTTTAGTTTGAGCATAGAAGGGGAGTAATGTATAATTATCCTGGAAAGATAGACTGGAATCATAGTAGGAAAGGATCACTTTTTCTTTTCGTAAATTTTTTTGTTTTAAACTTAAATACAAAATGAGAAAAGAAAAAAATTGCCATGTGCACAGCAGATCATAAGAGAAGATTCAATATAAAACAGTAAATTTCCATTTCAAGAAAACCTATATAATAAATATTACACATTGTTTTCAAAGCTGCCCAGTTTTTCTTTGATTCTTTGTTGGTTTTCTTTTGTTTTCTGCTATGTACTTTTGACTTTATTGTTTCCCCTCCCTTCCCGCCATCCTAAAGAACTCATGGGCGCGTGCGCGCACACACACACACACACACACACACACACACACACACGTACTTTTTTTATATATATATACACATATATACACACACACATACATACATACATATACATAGATATCTATAAACATACACCTATATAGACATATATGTAAGATCATACTATGCTTTTTTCTCCTATCATCTGTTTCTCTGAAGGTAGATAGAGTCTTCCTTCATAAGTCCAAGTCTTCCATGTTTTTCTAAATCAATCAGCTCATCATTTCTTACACCACAGCAATATTCCAACCCGATCACATCCTGTCTGAGAGACTGTCTATGAAAATTTTTTCCCCCAATTTACTGCATTCCTTCTATTCTTGGCTATATAGGTTTTATTTATTCAAGAAAATTTTAATTTAAAATAATTGAAATTATAACACTTCAACAATGCTGTCACCTTATAATAGAGTTTAAGGTCTGATACTGCTGAATCTACTTCCTTTACATCTTTTTTCCCTGGTTTCTTTGAAGTTCCTTACCATTTGTTCTTCCAAATGAACTTTGTTATTATTTTTTCTAATTGAATAAAATAATTTTTTAGTAATTTAATTGAAATGACATTGAATAAATAGATTAGTTAGGTAAACTTGTTACTTTAAAAGTTATATTGGCTTTGCCTACCTATGAACACTAAATATTACTTCAGTTATTTAGATCTGAGTTTATTTGTATAAAAAGTGTTTTATGTTTATGTTTGTGTAGTTCCTATGTCTGTTTTAGCAGGTATACACTCAGGCATTTTATACTGCGTAGGTATTTTAAATGATCTAAAACAGTATTGAGTAATATTACTGACACATGGTGTAGTTTCTCTATTTTTCACTTTTGATTAAATCTATTTTAACTTCAATTTTGGGATCATGATTACTATCTCTGCTTTTTTTTACATACTAAATTCTGCTCCTGCCTTTTATTTTATCTTTGTGTGTATCTCATTTTTATGTTTCCTGAAAGCAACATATTATTGAATTAAAATTTTTAATCTGCTCTC